ACTTGATGCAAGGTTGAAGGAACATCATCCATTTCGTGGATCCATGGTCTCCCAAGAATCATATTGTAAGACATCTCCATATCTACCACCTGGAACTTTGTATCTTTGNACTCCTTCAGTGAATGTGGTGAGTGTTACCTCTCCTTTCGTGAGGACACTAGAATTATCAAATCCCAATAGAGTATGCACCTTTGGTATCACTTTATCTTCAGCTTGCATCTCACGTAATACTCTTAGCAAAATAATGTTCATAGAACTACCTGGATCAATCAAAACTCGTTTCACATTAGTATCATGTAAAATTAAAGATATTACTAGTGCATCATTATGAGGGGTTATTACGCCATCTGCATCTACGTCATTAAATGTAATGTTGTCTTCCTCTAAAATATACCGCACCATTTTCCCTTGGGTAATTGTTACTTTGGAAATTTTGTTAGTTGTAGTATATGATATACCATTGACGTCTTCACCCCTACTTATAACGTTGACAGTTCTTTTGGGAAAAGGTGGTTTTGGAGGCTCCTGCCTATTTTCATGTAAGCTTGCTTGCCTTTATCACTGAACAACTCAGTAAGATATCCTTGTTTTAATAAATGATCAACTTCACTTTGTAGAAATCTGCAATCTGCTGTTTTATGTTCGTGCTCATTATGAAACTCGCACCAATGGTTAGGGTTGCGCCTGTTTGGATTCGATCTCATTTCCTTTGGCCATCGAACCTTATCTCCGATGCTTCTCAAAACAGCTATGAGCTCAGAGGTGCTGACGTTGAAGTTGTAACCACCGAATCTCGCTTTTAAATTTCTATCATCATCTCGTGACTCATAGTTGTTTTGCTCGTTCCTGAATCTTGATGAAGAACCTGATTCTCTGTTTCTTGATCTGTGATCGTACCTTTGATTATCTTGCTTTGACCGCGAGTCCTTTCCCTTAGGTCCCATGTAAGGCTTGTACCTGTTTTTACCGGATCTTTTTTTGGTCTCCGCACGTCTCGAACTTACCTTTTCTTCTTTTTGAAATCGTGGAACATTATCTTCCTCAATCCTCAGCTTCCTATACCTGTTATAAACATCATTCCACGTTGTAGCTGGGAATTCTAGAAGGCTTTCCTTGAGTCTCCTCGTAACTTCCGAGCTTTTTTCATTCAAATTACTTGTGAAAGCTATAGCTGCCCAGTTGTCAGGTACACGTGGCAATGTCATTCTTTCACGTTGAAATCTGTCCACGAATTCTCTAAGCAGTTCTGAGTCCCCTTGCTTGATTTTGAAAATATCCTCCATTCTTTTCCCTACTTTTTGAGCTCCCGAGTGTGCTTTGATGAAAGAATCTGCAAGCTCAGCAAAAGAATTTATAGAATTTTCGGGTAAAAGAGAATACCATGTTAGTGCTCCTTTGGTGAGCGTTTCACCAAATTTTTTGACTAATACTGATTCAATCTCCTGCTTAGTCAAATCGTTGTCTTTTACGCCCGTTGTGAATGTAGTCACGTGATCTCGTGGGTCTGTTGTTCCATTATATTTTGGAATATCAGGCATTTTGAACTTTTTTGGAATTGGGAATGGAGCAGCACTTGACTTCCAGGGTTGTTGCGAATATCTATCCATATCTACCCCTTTGATTATGGGCGGCACTCCGGGTATCTGCTCTATGCGCTCATTTTGCTCCTTGAGTTGTTTCTGCAAGGTTAGTACTCAATTTTGTAAATCAGAATGAATTACATTACCTGGTTCTCTCTCCTGTGATTCACTAGGAGTTCCACCGTTGCCTGAGTTAACAATCCCGAAACGAGGGTTTTCCAAAATGTTATTATTTGGAGTATGTGTGGGTGTTGCAACAGGTAACTGATTAACAAGTGCCTCAACAGCTTTGTTGACCTGAGCAACAATTAATTTCTGCAAAGCTTCATCAACAGCTTCAACATTTTCAAATTGAGCATGCTCGTTTATTTAAGACCCATCAGGAGTACCCTTACGAGATTGCCGTGGAGAGTCTCGTGGAGTAGGAACTTGAGTGTTAATATTATGTGGATCTCCTTGATTTTGTTGGTTCTCTTGGTTTCCTTGAGTGTTGTCATTGTTGTTCGACATAATTGACGCAATAAGGAAAGTTAAGTGAAAAGAAAATATATTATCAGTTTCCTGGTAACGGAACCAATTTGTTTAACCAAAAAATGAAATTTTAGTCAAAACTAGAATTTAGAAGAACACGGGTTACTGATAATCAAAAGAATATATAAAAGGAAGTAATTTATGTAGCAGAGAGTAATCAAGAGAAAAACAAGTAAACCAAAGTTTATTCAGTAGTGTTTCGTATCCTTACAATTGATTAGATATCTCCCTTTTATAGATATCTTGGAGATATATATTTTGCCCAAATCATAATGAAGCTATTATGAGTAATTAAAGACATTGAATGCTACATTGCATAATCATTACATTCAATACAAATTCTCTAACGTATTCCACATTTAATGCCTATTAAATGCCGTATCTGCACTTTTTTCTATTGTCAGATTCATTCCTTTTGATTCTCGGACATAAATGACTTAGATAGGTACGGGCGCTGAGTTATTTGAATAACTGCCCGTGCCTCTTCCTTTGCCATTTGCTCCTATCTGTTGCAACTCGAGCCCCTTGGCTAGTTGTAATTCTTTGACCATTTGACCAGTCTACGTGTCTCGACACACCACATTTATATTTAAATACAATTTTTTTTCAATACAATGGCCTCGAGGTGCTTCTCCTCAATCGAGCAAATATACCTCGATACATTCTCACATCGGCCAGGAATCGCGGGGGGATTTTCAATTTTGAAGTCTTTCTTTATGACACATGGGCTGGGAATAATCTTGTGAAGGGCCGACGCTTTTTCGCCGGCTGGCCAGGAAGATGAGGAGGAAGCTTTCTCCTTTTGAGGAACGATTTTGGAGGTTTTCGCCATTGATTTAGGTTAGAGGAAGCAGAAAGAGGCGTAGTTTGATATCTTTTGGCGTTAAAAAGGCGGAAATAACAGGTAGTGAGAGAGAGAGAGATGAAGAGGGGGAGAAATCAGAAAAATTTGAAGGTGGTTTGAAGACGGAAGTAAAGGTTTTGATTCGAATAAGGAGCCTTGCATTTATAGGCAAACGACGACAGTTCAACGGCGCTAGTGGCCGACCGCCACTGGCAAACATTTAATGTTTTGGGGAAGCGAACCGACTTTGGTTACTTCGAGCGCTTACGTCACGAGGATGACATCATCATCAGGGGCTCCGAAAAATCGAGGCTCAAATCATTTCTTATCATCTTATTCTAAGAAATGCGGGGACTATCTGTATACGGTTGAAATTAGGTATGCCCGATTCCCTGCTTCGAGGGAAAACTCTAAACGGACCTAGCTCGAGCCCGATGGCGGAGTATACAACTTGAAGATCGAAGTGCTCGATGAAAACCAAGACAAAAATTACAATATAAATTTAATTGTTACTCAAATTTTAGGGTAAATATCCGTGATGCTCAAATCTTGGGTCTGCTTCTGCTTTATGTCTAAATTGGCTTTGATTAGTTTGAACCTACACTTGTTAAGCCACGATGAAGCCTTGTGGCGTGGATCACGTGAGCACTAGCCTTGAGTATTAAGGCAAAAATTTCGCACCAAATGTAGGTCCAGATGCATTGCGCCGAAAATGCTACGCATTTCATTCGCGCTTACCGCCTTTTTTCAGTTTTAATTTAATTTATGCAATATTATTTTATTCACTCAAAATTATAATTAAATATATATTATAGCATTTTATGATTATTAGAACGTATCAATATGAATAGAATAAAAATTTTAAATTAAATTTTATCAAATATAACATAAACCTAATAAGAAAATATTGCTTCATCGTATGAAACGTAGGGAGTAAAATTTTGAAAATGCGAAAATTATGATATTATCTGTTAGACGTGAGAAGCATGTTGTAACACGTTACAAAAGTTAAACTGTCCTAGTCAAACACTACATCCAGAACCTTCCCCCTAATAATAATAAAATAATTCCAATAATAGCTGTCCATGCATTTGCGTACCTAATTCCTCTTCAACCTCTTTGCCGCCTCTTACGGTTATAACTCATCTACCGTTAAATATCCTATCCCAAATTAATCTGAACCGTCCGATCCTTCCAAATTCTCAATAAATTACGACCTCCTCCTGTCGTTTAAACATACCTTTTCCTTCTATGCCCAACTCTGTATTCTCCAGATCTCTTCTGCGTAATTTAGCTTCTTCAAATTTCATGTTCAGATCTGTGTAGATCGTCCTCCGATCTGCCTTTTGAATGTGGATTTACTGTACTTCCATAAAAGCTTGGCGATTGGCCAACCGAGCGGTGGAATCGTTCGATTTCCGTCAACGTGTGGCCGCCGGTTGACCTTAGCTGTAGATCTGATGCTTTTCGCAATGGTTCGATGGAGCTGAGCATCAGATCTGTTTGGTCTTCAGAGATTTGTTGAGGTTGGATTAGTAGTTTGAGCAACCGAGGTGTTATTTTACCGAGGCTTCCAACGTTGTTTTCTAGAGCTTTATCGGTGAGCTAAATATGCTTATTGGGTTTTGTTTATTTGGAGAAGATGTGTTAAGCAATTTATGTTTGTTGAAAACAAGCTAATCCTTTTACATATTGCAGATATGAATAGAGATGCAAGGACTATTGAATCGGTGCTGCCGTTGTTTTGCATCAAACGGTTTAGACTGGTAATCTTCGATCGAGGGTTGAATCAGCTAGCGTGATGGTGTATTTAAGGTTATAATAGTTTAATTTATTGTCTACAATTATTTAAATGGCTCATTTGCATTAGTTTTTATTTATTTATTTATGCATATGTACGCGAGGATGAAAGATTGAGCGACGTTGTGAGTTATGAGAGGAAAAATTGAGGTATTTATTGTCATGTTATCAGGCCTTTGCCATGTTGGGTGCGCTCGCATGGCAGGTCAAAAGTACATTATAAAAGTATTCATTTTGGGTGTTGGAGAGGAGAAGGCACGGGGTTTTGCCCGGCTCTGCTCTCTTTGCGTGTCTCGTGTCCTTTTTGGCTCTGCTCTTTCTTTTTTCCTGCGTCCAACAACTTTGCGTCGATCAGTGGTTACTTGTCGTTGAATAGGCCTTGTGATTACTGTTGTGTATTTTGAGGCGAGTCTTATTCAAAGACAAGTAACTCATGTTGATTTGCTATATGCTCCACGGCGATGGATACAAGCAACGTTTCTACTGCAGCACGCCACTAGAGGTACAATATCAATTCTCTTAGTTAAAGTTAACTAACATTTTTTATAACATTTATCAATTCTAAACTGATTGCCTTAATTATCACCTTCACTAACTTATACTCGTATAAAAGCTTCTAAACAGCACTTCTGGAAATATTATACAAAGGCTGAAATGCTCACAGCTTGGAAGTAACTTATGTTAAGCACACCTGCACCTCTATGGAAGTAACTTTAAGAATATAATTTGGCCGCTGTTAATTGGCTTGCGAACTTGCCAATTTTTTATACAGAGCACCTCATAATGTTCCCATTAATTGTTTTTATAAATTTTTCGCTCGTAAATAAGACCTTAATGCATGATGTCACATAAAAAATGGTGGTTACACCTTTATTGGTTATGGTAAGCTTATGTTTTATTTAATAAAATCTGAAATTTGAACCATCATCTGATAGTTGTGATTGGGCAAGGAGCATAACGTTAGAACTGGTATTGCAAAGTTGTATCTGAACTGTGTATTATTCTCATTAAGGTTAGATTTCAGTGTTTACTCTTTTAAGTTTCCACAGATATTTAAGAGGCTATAATCAGTAGTGATATTGGAATATAAATTGGTTTATGTAGCGATATGGTTGATAAAATAGCTGAAATTAAGTAGCTATCTTCTTACAAAATGTTGCGGAAAATCATTGTGTTGGCATCACAAAATCTCGCTGACACTTGAATGTTCCATTTTCATTAATTCTGCAGATGCAACTTAATTCGGGTTTATTCTTTTTATAAATGCGTACTCTTGGTTTACTTAGTCAATAGTAGTGAGTTATTGTTTCTTAGTCTAGTCGGAGCTTAGCTGTGTTCTCCTGATCTATGATGTAATAGTTTCATTCCGATGGAAGTTCTTTGTTATGGTACCCCTATTGTAGTGTTTTGGGAGGGGTACCTTGTGTAGCCAGGTTTGGAACTTTGACCTTAAAAACAATTCAGTGTATTCCGGTTAGATTTGATGCATATCAAATGATGGTGGGTGGCTGTGGCTTCCAATAAGCTGGAGGCACATTGGTGCTGGCGGCTGAAGTTGAAATTTTTCGTGCTGCGCTTGATGTATATGCTGCTTCTAGTTAATATGAAGCTTAGTTTTCTCCGTGTCCATCAAGAAATGGAGCTGCTGCTGCTGTTGAAGATTTGATAGCCTTGTGTTTGATGTGCTTTCTGCATGAGGTAATTTCTCCGGGATGCCACTTTGGTGAGGAATTTGTGAAACTCTAAGCTTGTTGCTGTTACTGGTTTGAATCTGTGGTTTTCATTATGTTTTGAAGCTGTGGTTCTGTGTGGTCAGCAAGTTAACATCGCTTGGTTTTACAAGCCTTCATCCAAGATGAAGTGTTGACTGAAGATGTTAGAGCTTGTTGCTGTTGCTGGTTTGGATCTATGGTTTTCATTATGTTTTGAAGCTGTGCTTTTGTGTAATCAGCAAAAGTATCAACCCCTGTTGGTTTTGCAAGCAGGTTCATCAGAAATGAAGTGCGTGACAGAAGATGTCGGTCTGTATATCCAAAGGAATTTAAAGAAAGCGTATTTTCTGTGCCTTTACTATTTTCTGATTGGAAAAGTGAAGCTAGCTCCTTAGAAGAGTTGATATGGTATTTCTTTTTAGAAGTATTTTCTCAGGAAAACGTTGTAGCAAGCGACTGATATCTAGTCTCGAACTGTGTTGTTCATGTGCTTTCTGGCATTCTGAGGTAATTCATTTGGTTTTCATCTAAAGACTGTATAATTTTCTGCACTTTTATTATGTGGTAGAATTTTCTCAGACATCCAGTGATCTTGCACATTTATAAAGTATCGTTGTCCTGTTGGATCATATTATTAGCTATAGTTTTTTTCGTAAAATTTATTTTAATTTTAGCAATAGGTTTTTGATATCTGTGAGCATATTTAAAATCTCTCCTTGCAGGGCATGAATAATTGTCTGCCTCCAAACTGGAGCGTTTCTCATGTTTGTAAGAATGTTGACAATTAACAGTTTTTACGCAGGCAGTCTGCTGTTGCGAATCTGCCGGTTCGGCAGTGTCTAATTAGAAGATTGTCTCTCTATTATAGAGATACAGTTTGGAGAGAGCGTCAATTTCACTGATAATTTGGTTTCAGATGGGCTTTGTATTTATTAGTAGAAGAGAACTTGCATGCAGGATACAGTGTTGCAATATTTCTTGACGGAGTATGGTTGGGTTTTGTGCTAGTCTTGGCAGTACATGTTCATCTTTTTAACAAGTTATTAAACTCGAGAATGTTCTAGATTATTATTATTGTTGTTTCAGTCTGCAAACAGTCATTGTTGGGGTACTAAATAAGAGAGCTTCCTGGAATTACAATGGATCAATTGATGGGACCCTAAAATGAGTGGCTATGTTAATGTTAATGCATTGCTTCTAATTCTCATCTCCGACAGATTAGTGATAAACACTGTTCCTATTTTTTACCACTAAACATGGTAAAGGATTCTTCTATTCATCTTATTTAAAAAAGGCAACTTTTCATATTTAATGCTCCCTATGTTGCAATGTATGTGAACTTATTCTTTTTAGTTTTGTTAAAAAGAATGTTTTCACTTATTTGGAAATAATTTATCTTTATATGATTATTTATGACCACAAAAAGGATTTTTCTCTTTACTTTAACTTCGTGTCCAGTATAATTTAATTCTACTGTCATTAATTGCTGTTTTGGATGGATGGATCTAAGAGCTCGGTTTTTGGTTGAGCGCTCGATGCCATTGCATTCGAGAGGTCGGTGGTTCGAATCCACCCGGATCCCTAATTTGAACTGTAGATTATTTACTGCAGCACTTTGTGTTTACCTTTGATTTTTTTTTTTGGGAACCAGCACCGTTAAATTAAGCTTTTACGACTATGTAACAACAGATACTTTGAAACTAGTACGACCATTGGAAGTGTGGTATTGTGTTTATTTCTCTTGATGTAGTTATTGTATTATCACATATTTGAAATATTTTCTCCTGCTGCTGGTAATTGCAGCAATGGTACTAACATTTCAATGCTTAAATCTTCCTGCAGGTTGCTATTTCCGTATGGGTGATAAACACCCCTAAAGAGGGTTGATACTTCCATCAAATTTTCTTGATCACAGGAACATCTTTGAGGCTCAAAAGTATAAAATATTCAGTTGGAAGTACAAGAGATGGAATTAATAATATTTTTAAATGTCTAGTAATGTAATCTTCATACTGTGGCACTAATTTTAATCTTCATATTTCTCGATTGAGTTGTTATTAGGTATTGCTCTCTGAGCTAGTATTCTAACAGCTCACTTTTTAATTCTCTGATGATGTAAGCATTGGAGTATTGTGGTTGTACCTAACACAAAATGAATAGGAGTTCCATTTTCTTAAAAGTATAATAATAGCATAAAGGTGTTGTCAATATTATTTCCTAGCTTACAATAAATAGTTAATCTCAAAATTTGTATTGTACTTCAGTTTTGAGAAAATTATAATACTAAAATCTACTTATAATATATTTCATGTATGAATGGAACAAAGTTCACATTTTCCATTTAATTTTATTTGATTTAAGATCTAATATGTCCAACGAAAATACATGGCATTTAGAATAACAAAAAGTATTAACTATTTTTAAGTCGAAATATATTCATCTAATTATAAAAATGTGAAAATACTTATTTTAAAAGTACTTTAAAAAAAAGTATTTTTGGAAAGAAACAATTTGTGTTTGGTTAATCACTCTAAAACACTTTTGAACAATAATTTATGTTTGACCAAGTTTTCAAAAAGTGCTTTTAAGTATCAAATTACGAATAAGGACATGAATAAATTTACTTAATAGTTAATATTATAAGTAAATAAATAATCTCAAAAATTTATCATTACATGCAATAATTAATTTTTGTATTTCATTTAAGTAAAGTACGAAAATAAAATTAAAAAGTACTTAATTCTTTTAATATAAGTAAAATATATTAAAATATATTTAATAAATATAAAAGCATTCACCATTAAAATCACTATATATTAGAAAGCTATCCTAAAAATAAGAAGATATATTTATACATTAATATCCTAAGTATTAAGTTAACGGTTATTTTGGTATATACTATATTTTATTAATGGTATTTTAGGTAAGAAGAAAATTTAAAACTGCTCTTACTTCTGTTTTTGAAAAAAAATTATATTTTTCTTCTCAAAAGCTATTTTTACTTCTTCCCAAAATATTTTTTTCTCCCCAAAAAACTTGGCCACACATCTCAAGTTAAAAAAAAGAAGTATTTTTGGTAAAAAAAAAAACAATTTTGGCCTCAAACAGGCTATTATTCCATTTACAGCCGTCCAAGTATTTGCGTACCCTATTCGTCGTCAACCACTTATCCTAAATTAATCTGAGCCGTTAGATCCTTCTAAATTCTCAATAAATTACGACCTCCTCCTATCATTCATACCTACCTCTTCCATCTATGCCCAATATCTGTATCTCCAGATCTCATCTTCGTAGTTTATCTTCTTCAAATTTCATGTTCAGATCTGTGTAGATCGGTTTTCGATCTACCTTTTGAATATGGTTGTGCTGTGTTTCTGTAACAGCTCAGCCATTGATCAACCGAGCTGTGTAACTGTTCGATTTCCGTCGACTATGGCCGTTGATTGACGAGGAGCTTGTAGATCTGATGCTTTTCGCAATGGCTCGATGTAGGTGAGCATCAGATCTGTTTGGTCTTCAGAGATATGTTGAAGTTGGATCAGTAGTTTGAGCAACCAAGGTGTTATTTTACCGAGGCTTCAACCGTAGTTTGCTAGAGCTTTACCGGTGAGCTAAATATGCTTATTTGAGTTTTGTTTATTTGGAGAAGATGTGTTAAGCAAGTTATGTTTGTTGAAACCAAGCTAATCCTTTTACATGTTACAGATCTGAATAGAGATGCAAGGACTACTGAATCGTTGCTGCCGTCGTTTTGAGTCAATCGGTTTGGACCGGTGATCATCGGTCGGGGATTGAAATCTGCTAGCGTGATGGTGTATCTAAGGTTATAATAGTTTAATTTGATGTCTATAATTATTTGAATGGCTCATGTGCATTATTTTTTCATTTTATGCATGCATATGTACGAGAGGATGAAAGATTGAGTGACTTTGTGTGAGATATGAGAGGAAAAAGTGAGGTATTTATTGTTCATGTTACCAGGCCTTTGCCATGTTGGGTGCGCTCACATGGCAGGTCAAAAGTACCTAATAAAAGTATTTATTTTCGGTGTTGGGGAGAGGAGACGGCACGGAGTTTTGCCCGGCTCTCCTCTCTTCGTCTGTCTGCTTCTTTTTTATTTTTTCCTGTTCTTTCCTTGCTCCTGCGTTCAAAAACTTTGCGTCGATCAGTGGTTACTTGTCGTTGAATAGGCCTTGTGATTACTGTTGTGTATTTTGAGGCGAGGCCTATTCAAGGACAAGTAATTCATGTTGATTTGCTCACCACGGTGATGGACACAAGCAACGTTTCTACTGCAGCACGTCACTAGAGGTACAATATCAATTCTCTTAGTTTAAGTTAACTTTCACATTTTTCATAATATTAGTCAATTCTAAAATAATTGCCTTAATTATTCCCATTTTTCACATTTTTCATAATATGAGTATTAGTTACTTTAGAATATATTTTGGCCGCTGTTAATTGGCTTGTGAACTTGCCAATTTGAGCACCTCATAATATTCCCACAAAGTGGTTTAATAAAATTTATGCTCCTAAATAGGATCCCTAATTCATGATGTTCCATGAAAATGGTAATTACACCTTTATTGGTTATGGTAAGCTTATGTTTTAATGAAATCTGAAAATGGAACCAACTGTTAGTTGCGATTGGTCATGGAGCATAAAATTAGAATTGGTATTGCAAAGTTGTATCTAAGCTCCTTATTATTCTCTAATAAGGTTTGATCTCGTTGTTTAAGCCTAAAGTTTCCCCAGATATTTAAGAAACTATAATCAGTAGTGATATTGGAATAGTAATTGGTTTATTTATCTATATGGTGGATAAAATAGCGGAATTAACAAGCTGTCATCTTACGAAATGTTGCGGAAATTCATGGTGTTATTACAAAAGCTCGCGAAACTGAAACTTCCATTTTCATTAATTCTGCATATTCAACTTAATTCGGTATTCTCCTTTTATATATACCAATTTTTGATTACTTAGTAAATAATACCTAGTTATTTAGTATTCATGAGTTATTGTTTTTAAGTAGTCATGTCTTCTTTGGCAAGAGTCTAGTCGGTGCTTAGCTGTGTTCTCTTGATCTATGATGTAATAGTTTCATTCCAATGGGAGTTCTTTGTTATGGTACCCCTGTTGTAGTTTTTTGGGAGGGGTACCTTGTGTAGGCAGGTTTGGAACTTTGACCTTAAAAACAATTCAGTGTATTCCGGTTAGATTTGATGCATATCAAATGATGGTGGGTGGCCGTTCCTTCCAATAAGCTGGAGGCGCATTGGTGCTGACTGAAGTTCAAATTTTTGGTGCTGCATCTTGACATATAGTGCTGCTTCTAGTGATTGTGAAGCTTTGTTCACCCGTGATCATCAAGTAATGGACCTGCTGCTGCTGTTGAAGATTTGATGGCCTGTGTTGTGCTTTCTGCTCCAGGTAATTTTCTCCTGGATATCTCGCTTTGGTGAGGAATATGTGAGAAGCGTGTTGCTGTTGCTGGTTTGAATCTATGGATTTCATTATGTTTTGAAGCTGTGCTTTTGTGTGATCAGCAAGTCTCAACATTGGTTGGTTTTACAAGTCGTTTCATCCAAGATGAAGTGTGACGGAAGATGTTAGAGCTTGTTGCTGTTGCTTGTTTGGGTCTGTGGTTTTCATTATGTTTGCGAGCTGTGAGCAAAAGTTTCAACACCAGTTGGTTTTGCAAGCAGGTTCATCCAAGATGAAGTGTCAGACGGAGGTTGTCAAGTCTGTATATCCCAAAGAATTTAAAGAAGCGTATTTTCTGAATGGAAAACTGAAGCTAGCTCATTTGAAGAGTTGGTATGGTATTTCTTTTTGGAAGTATTTTCTCAGGAAAACCTTGTAACAGGCAACAAGCAACTGATATCTAGTCTTGAACTGTGTTGTGCTTTCTGGCATTCTGAGGTAAATTTATTCCGACACCCAGTGCTCTTGCACATTTATAAAATGTTTTGTCCTGTTGGATCTCATTATTAATTATAGTTTTTTTTGTAAAACCTATTTTAATTTATTCTTGTTTTTGATATTTGTGAGCATATTTAAATTGCTTTTCTCCTGCAGGGCATGAATAATTTAATTGCCTGCCTGCAAACCGGACCGTTCCTCATGTTTGTAAGAATGTGGCATTACCAGTTTTTACACAGGCGGTCTGCTGTTGCGAATCCGCCGGTTCGACTGTCCAGTCATAAGATTGTCTTTGTAGTATAGAGGTACAGTTTGGGGAGACCGTTAATTCCCCTTGATAATTTGGTTTCAGATTGGCATTGTATTTATTAGTAGAAGGGAACTTGCATGCAGGATACATTTTTGCAATATTTCTTGACACAGTACGGTTGGGTGACGTGGTAGTCTTGGGCAGTACATGTTCATCTTTTTAATAAGTTATAATATTTTAGATTATTATTATTATTATTATTATTGATTATTGATTCACTGTTCACCCTGTTTGTTGGGGTGTACTAAAATGTGTCGTTATGTTAATGTTAATGCATTTCTTCTAATTGTCACCTCCAACAGATTAGTGATCAAACACTCTTCCTATTTCTCACCACTAAATCAATGTAAGGGGTTCTGTTATTCATCTTATATTTAAAAAACAACTTTCTTTATTTAGTATAATTAATTGTAACGTCATAAGATGCTGTTTTCAATGGATCTAAGAGCTCGGTTTATGGTTGAGCGCTCGATGCCACTGCATTCGAGAGGTCGGTGGTTCGAATCCACCTAGATCCCTAATTTGAACTGTAGGGTATTATTGTAGCATTTTTTTCTTTACCTTTGTATTTTTTCTGGGAACTAACACCTTTAAATTAAGCTTGTACGAACATGTAGCTACATATACTTTACAATGGCACTACCACTGGATCACGTACCTTTTAATGAAAGTGTAATATTGTGTTTATTTCTCTTGATGTAGTTATTGTATTATCACATATTTGAAATATTTCTCTGCTGCTAGTAATTGCAATGGTGGAACTAACATTTCAATCCTTAATCTTCTTACAGATTGCTATTTCCGTATGGTTGGTCGCACCTAAAAATCAACTAGAGTATTGCTACTTCATCAAATTTTCGTGATTACGGTAACATCTTTGGGGCTCAAAAGTAGGGGTGTCAATGGATATTTAAAATCGACTAAACCGATCGAACCGTACCGTACCGAATCGATTTTTAGGTTTCTTTTAATAAAATTGCAAGTTTTTATATAAATATATAACCGTACCGATAATTAAGGTAGGAACCGAAAAATATACCGAACCGTACCGAATAAATTTACAATGTGAAAAATATATTTATATATTACGTTTAAAAATGATAAAGCATTAAAAATTTTCCGTGACCTTGGAATTATTAAATAGTTACAAGCCAACAAATAATTAAACTTAAAATCCTAATTTTCAAATTTATTATGCTACTCCTATTGAAACTAAATTATTTTCAACATATTCACTAGCAAAACACAAGATATTGTAGTGATTATGAGTAGAAAACTACAATGTATTGAATATGTTTCCTCTCGTATGATTTAGATTTATTTTTTTGGATATTTAATCTTCTATAGACTTTATTCTTTAGACCCATCTTGGTTAATATCTTTCCACTCGTGTGATTTATATTTTTTGTATTTGCTTAGTTTCTTTTACGCTAATGTAGAATAATTGATGGATCTATACTCTAGCCATCTTTTATATTTTCTTAATTTATCACCTTTTAAACTGTAAAAATATCTAGAGAGTTTTGCTAAGTCCTATAAAAGTACGTATGTTATTGCATTCTACTTATAATAGTGATTTTTACATGACATTTAAAAAAAATTACCGAATATTTACCGAACCGTACCGATACCGAAGAGAAACCGAGATGATTGGGACGATTTCGAAAAGTCTAATTTCGGTTATACATAATAGAATAACCGAAAAATTAGTATGGTATAAATATTATAAAATTCTTGACCGAACCGAATCATTGACACCCCTACTCAAAAGTATAAAATATTGGGTTGGAAGTACAAAGAGATTGAATTAATAACATTTTTAAATGTCTAGTAATGTAATATTCATACTGTGGCATTAATTTTAATCTTCATACTGAGCTAGTATTCTAACAGCTCATTTTTTTAATTCTCTGATGATAGCTTAGTTGGAGTATTGTGGTTGTAGCTGGGCACAAAATGAATAGCAGTTCCATTTTCTTGGAGGTATAATTGCATTAGGAAAAAAGGTGCTGTAAATATTAGTATTCCTAGCTTACAATAATATAATAGTTACATCTCAAAATTTTTAGTGTATTTCATATCTGAGAAAATTGCAATTTTAAAATCTAATTATAATATATTTGACGTATAAATGTAACAAAGTACACATTTTCCATTTAATTTTATTTGATTTAAGGTCTAAATGTTCAACGAATCGAAAATAAATGGCATTTAGAATAGTTAAAGGATCACAAACTTTAATTATTTTTAAGTCAATATATATTCATCTAATTATAAAAATGTGAAAAATTCTGAAAATATCTTTGTTATTAGACGTGAGGAGCACGTTACGAAAATTTAGATGTCCTAGTCAAAATAAAACAACCATTTCAGTCTGATAAATTTATTCCATTTACAGCCGTCCAAGTTTTTCCGTGCCTAACAAAAATGAATAGGAGTGGTTAGTTAAAGTTTGTATTCTAACAGCTCCTTTTGTCATTCTCTGATGACGTAGCTAGTTGGAGTTGTTGTACCTAACAAAATGAATAGGAGTTCCATTTTCTTAAAAGTACTATTTTAGGGTACGTCCGTTGCATGTGTTTTTACGTCTATTAATAAAAAATGTATAAAATTTAGAATAAAAATGAATTACGTGTAATAATAATTGACATCGTGATAAATATAATATTTATATAATTAAGAGTAAGAAAAAGAAGTATTATCACTTTTAGCCTATGCCAGAAACTATTTACATTCAGTAGCAGAAAAAAATATATAAAATTTGTATAATTTTTGTATATAACATACATAATGTATATATAAATACAAAAAATATACATTTTTCGGTTATTATTTTGAGAGCGGCTATATAGTTTCCTAAGAAAATTTCTCTATTTTTTTATTAAGATACTGAATTTATACACAATTAAGATATTAGTTCATTAAAAATTTAGAAAATCAATTGAAATATCCAACATATAAAATATTAATGGCAGTTATCATTATATCTAACATGGAATGTATATTTTTGTTGATATATTTACTTCTCATAATTGTATAAATATTTACCACTAATAAATGTATTCTAATATAATTTAAATGATTAATTGTATTTAAGCAANAAAAAGTTATATGTCAAAACAATAAATTTATACGGTATCTAACATTAACAAAAATAGGAAAAATGAGATATAGTTCCTTTAAGTTATATCAAACTTATATAACTAATGTCATGGAGGAATATTTTGTAATTTTAATAGATGTGCTCTTTTAACTACATTAATATTGGTAAATTTATAATTAACTTCAATTTTTATTCCCAAAAAAATCCCTTCAAATTCCAAAATATGAAGTTAAATCAAAGTTTAAATATATTTTATATTTTATCTTTATCGAATATTAATATAGCTAATAAATATTTCGCTTAGGGTTTCATACTTTATAATAGTATACATGCGCTTTAATAATTCTTTAGATGCGACCAACAAAATAAGATACGTATATACCAATTGAACTGAAAAAAAACACTAAAACATGATGCAAAATTCATATGAGCTTTACTATGGTAACTGGTGACACATATATAAAAACAAAATGTGATTTATCAAAATTTGAACTATTGTGCAATTGTAGCAGACTTTTCACAAAAAGTGAGCGACTTATAAAATATTGGCGAAATTAATTTGAGAGATATTCAAACCCATTCTTTTCATTATATCAAACCTTTATTGGTGAAAAGTTTTGGTGTAATATTTGTATTAAATAATATCTATCAACATCTCATTTCGGGCTTCATAAATTTATAATTTATCAAAAAAAAGATTTAAAGGTTTAAAAAAAGTAAGAAAATGTGTATTTTGAAATATTTCTTATTTTTATTGTGAACATGAAAATTTAGAATAAAACTTAAAAATTCCAAAAATAAAGGTTTGCTACTTTTCTAATATTACCGTACAAGAAAATAATGAAATTCTTCGTTAATACAAGGAAAATAAAATAAGGTTCTTTAATTAAGTAAAAGGCCATATGATGAGTAAGGAACTAATGAGTTTAGGGGTGTTCACGGTTCGATTTGATCGGTTTTTGATTAAAACCAAAACCAAACCAATTTAATCGATTTTTAAAATTTTAAAACCAAAACCAAACCAATTTAATCGATTTTTAAAATTTTAAAACCAAAACCAAACCAAATTAGATACAAACCATCGGTTTGGTTGTCATTGGTTTGGTTCGGTTTGGTTCGATTTTTTGGTTCTTAGTAAGCTAATAATAAATCGATAATAGTAAAGCAATACTAGACAATAATCTGAAAATAATTTGCTAAATTTATATTTTTTTATATATTTCTTTCGGAACTTAAAGTTTATTTACCTCTTTATATGAAAAGAATGATAAAAAAAAACAAACTAAAAGTTTGCTTTCTCAAGCTTTAGCCACTGTAGTCCTGCAATTTGAGTTTGCTTTCTTTACTCTTATGGTAGGATTTGTTTTTACCTCTTCTGTTAGGCAAAAGTATGTGCGGAGGGTTAGAGAATTAAAGTCTCTTAAGGAAAAGAAGTGATGCATATGTAAGAGATTCTTTTAGCAAGTTTGGTAAATTAGGTCCAAAGGGCAAGAAATGTATTTTTATAAAATATTCAGAACACTCCAAAGGGTATATGTTCATTGGTGAATTAGAAGATGGGAGTGTTACTGAGATTGAATCGCGAGATGTCACATTTTGGGAAAATAATTTTCCAAAGAAGGGCGAGGTAAAGAATGGAGAGCCTCTTTGTGAAATGTTGAACTCAGATAGTCAGCAAGTGTGGCCGATTCTTATTGTTTTGGGCTTAGACAATCTTTTAAGATATAAGTAGGATAAACCAAAATTTAAAATAACAATTAAATTGCATAAAATATTTAAAATTATTTAGAAAAAGATATTATATTGTATATAAATAATTATTAAATTTTGTATATAATTAATCGGTTTGGTTTGGTTTAATTTCGATTTTTTATAATAGAACCAAAACCAAACCAAATATTATCGGTTTTTAAAATTTAAAATCAAACCAATCCAAATCAAAAAAAAAAAAATATCGGGTTACATAATCGGTTTGGTTTGATTTTCGGTTTGGATCGGTTTTCCACCAAACCGTGAACAGCCCCCTAAATGAGTTTATAAAAGATATTCTAATATGAATATTTTCTCTTTTATTACCTGATATTCTTTTCGAGACCAAGA